CACGAAGGAGAGGGGGAAGAAGGAGCGCGGGGGGGGGGGGGGGGAAGACTCCACCGACCCACCTCACAGCCACCTCACAGCTGCACAGAGAGGCCGTAATCAAAACCATCATTACAGATCTGATAGGTTCGCTACAGCTATAAAGAGATAAGAGCAGTTGGGAGAGGGAAAACATGGCCTCAGTGACACAGCCTTAGGCTGGGATGTTCACGCCCATCTATAGAACCCTTTCTCCAAAGCTGCCTCCCATGTAGAAAAATACAATAAAATCCTGCTGTGTAGGCCTCTGTACAGCAAAAATCAGCAAAAGAAGCTGGCCTGGCAAATGGGGCACATACAGTCCTCCAGCACCTGGCGAGGAAGCACAGAGCAACTATTGATTTCTGGTTATTTTAATTCCACTAACAACGCCTCCTCCAAGCACCCACTAAGAAAACTTTGGTTGCAGTGGGAAACTTGAAGTCAGGCAAATGGGGAGGGGGGAGGAAATCCTGCTTTCCTGTAGAGTTTTTTGTTTAAATCACTGAAGTACAACCTATACTTGTAAGTATAGATTTACATGACTAGCAGTCTGTGTACATCCAGTGTAATACGCCTTGAACCCTTAGGATGGGGCAGATTAAATCCAGTTAACTAAACCACGGTTGAACTCCAGTAGTAAGTTACAACTAGAGTAGGTCCACTAAATCTGTGGGGATTTGGTGAGTTAATACCTATGTAAGTTACAGTGACTCAATGGGTCTACTTTAGTCCCACTTACTACTAGATTTTAGCCAATAAGTCTAACTAATTTTGGTCTAACCAACTGAAGTAATGGATTTTTAACTTATACTTAATGAGCCAATCAACAACTATTTTTTTTTTAGATTCCCAGGATCTCCCAGCCAACATGGCCCCTGGTCTTCCAGGAGTTGTAATCTAACTTTGCCAAGCTCTAGAAAAAGGCACATACTTTCTCAGTACTAAAAAGTACATATTTCAGCAGGCAGGAGAAAATAACTGAAAAATAAACACTGCTATCATATGAAAAGAGGAGGAGGAGGAGGGCAACTACGACATCAACATTATTCATGTAGAATTTGTGTGAGCTGCTGATCATCTCTGTACCTTGTAGCCAATCTCGAAAGTAGTGCAACCACATTTTGGGAAGCTGCTTGTTTTCTTCCAACAAAACATACGTCACATTGTTAAAACTTTTGTGAAGTTCATAAAGTAAGGGCTGGATGTTGGGATAATCCGCTTTTTGGGTCACAATGTACATGTGGTAGAATGAGAAATACTTGAACTGGGCAGCAATGAAGTCGTATTCCCGCGTCTCCCGTGGCACAATGTCTGTGAGATCTAGTCCATCTCTTACCCGGGTGGTTCCATAAAGACTAAGGCCAAGCAAACCCAGAAAGAGAAGAATGACCACAATCTGCAAAATAAAAATAGGAAGCAACGCCATTTTAAAGAGCTTCACAAAATAAAAGTTCTGAAAGGATACATTTACAGTATTATTAAAAGAAAGGCAGAGCCATTTGAAATATTTAGATATTAGATAATAAAGTCTCCAAGCAGTCTCCCTGTAAATTACTCTCAACAGTTTTAGTATGCTCATTGTTTAATATGCCAGTTCAGGTCTAAAACAGATGTTAGCAACAGCTGGTAATGAGAACCTGGAAACATGTTAATGTTGCAGAGATTGCTGAGATAGTATTTGGAGGGTTTGTGAAAAGATTTCAAAGGAATCTGAGTTTAAATCCTAAAGGCCAATTAAACAAAGAAAGCTAATTTCTGTACTTCCATAGGTAAGAGGAACTCCTGCTGTGGCACTCAGATGCTTGTATTTGTTAAGGAATTTCTTCTTTTAGTCATCGTCTATGTTTCACATCTATTTTCATCCTTTCTGTGGTTGATTGTCTCAGTGGTTTCTATAGAGCAACAAGAAACCAATCCACCTCATGCCACTGAATCTCCAGCTGCATATGTTCATGCTGATCCCCCACTGCCCTCTCCTTATTCAGTTGTCTACTTTTATAGGAATGACTGAAAACAAACTTGCAAATGTTAGTCTTCCTGTCCCACTGGACTAGCCAAATAAAAAACATCATCAGAGTAGACAGTTTTGTTTACAAAATGGCAGAGACAAAAACGATGTTTCTGAAATCGCTGGGCGTAACTGCTTCATCCATACTGCATGATACATTGAACATCCATGGACCTACAGACAGGCTCATCACAGTTGTACATTTTTAAATCTTTGCCATTTCTATTACCAAGAGAATTAAACTGTATTATACCTTAAGATTTGGCACTCTTTCTTTAGGGAAGCTTCCTTGAATAAATTTAAATAAGCAAGTAGAAAGTGCTGGTCATGACCTTTAAAGCCCTTTATGGCTTAGGTCTAGACTCTCTGAAAGATCTTATCTGTAAGAATCCCCATGTGTATCAAGATCTTCAGTGGAGTCCCTTCTCTGGATCCTATCATACTCACAAGCACATCTGGTGCAGACCCAAGAGAGGGCTTGTGGTTTGGCTGCTTCTGTTGGCAGGTGAAAGCATACCATTTTAGAGAGGTGTTTGGGGAGCCAAGAAGCAATTGAGATGGGGAGGTCTTTTAAAATGTATAGTTTTAAAATAATATTCTGAGCCTCACACAACCTACTGTTGAGAATAAGAGTGCAGGAAGAGCAAGGATCTGAGATAAGAACTGAACAAAGGAGCAGATTGAAACAAGTAAACCCTAAATCCAGTTGCTCGTGTGAGCCAACACAGACTGACTGAATCATCACTGAAGATAAATTGACAATTGCCTAAATACCAATGATTCAATCTAGTCTTCACAAATCAGGATTAGCAATTAGATTTAGGGCTTTATTAATTTTTTATTCTAGAATGTTATCTTTCAGAATGTTCTATTTTACGAAAACTTCCAAAACGATGTACAAAGTTGAACACACACGAGGCCAATAAAATAAAATAACAAATAAAAAACAAATTGGGGCAAATGTAATCAATGAGGCTTCTTAGAATAGAAGAGACAGTTGTGAGAGAGAGGTATTCTAAAGCCAATTTGATTTCAAAGTCGCATGGAATCTGAAGCAAGGCCTCACATGAACTACGGCAGCTTGAAATAGGACACATTCTCAGAAATAATCAGAACCTAGGAGTTTACTGAAGGATCTGTCTATGGAGTCACAATGCAACCTGAATCTTTAGGTAAGTGACCAAGAAACTGGGAGGCTTTTAGGGAAGATACATATTCATTTCCCCGGTGCATTCGAGTCATGCCTATAACTGAATGGACTACTTATAGTGGGCACAATCAAGTTATCCTTTAAAAAGGGGCAGGATATGCCATATTCCTATAAAATTTCAGACTAAAAAAAATCCACCCCCAAACAGATGTTACCTTTGCTTTTGGTTTTAAGAGGAATGGTGCATACTGTTTTTCAGCAAAAGAAGAGAGGGTCCATTTAGTACAGGGCGGCTCAAGACAATGTAGTGTAGATTCTGAAAACTGTGAAAGGAGATCCCTTGTTGAGCTTGTGCTTTCTGGGCTTTGGCAGCTGAGGTTATCCTGTGTCACTGTGACAGGCTGCACTGATATTTCTGAACGAGGTTCTGCTGTGGTGTAATAAATTTGGGTATGGGGGTCGTATTCTGTGCGGAGCTGGACTGTAGACTGCATTGTGATCTGTGTTTCATGCGCAAAACTGTGGCTGCTGTAGGGTGGTGGAGGGCTGCAGCGGGTGTTGTCACCAACCTCTGAATAGGCTTGTGGCTCAATCTGAATCACTCTGCTGACACAAGGGCTGAAAGAAAAGAAATGAGGGAGAGCATTTATTCACACTGTGTTTTTCAGCCTGAACAATTATGGTGAATTATTCATGATTTTAAAATAATTTATATATACCATTCTATCAAAATAGGAGGGCCAGAATTCTATCATTTTACTTCACACAGAAGAGGAATAGCAGAAACCACATTATTTAATCGACGAGGTGCTGGATGTACAGTATGTTGGTCATCTGTCCAGTTGCATGCCTGGCACATATCCACACCTTATTGATTAGCCACAGCAGATTCTGTGGTTTCACTTATGTGCATGATTAAAAAGCCACAAGATCCTAGTCTTTGTGTCTGATACACACATTGCTGTATTGAGAACTCAACCGTTTACTTCTAAAAATATTATTGATTTTGATAACAAAGTAATAGCTTGGGGGAAGTGTTCTATTTTGCAAAAGAAGACTATGATAATTACACAGTAGATACAGAAAAGGCGGGGGGGGGAAAGACATGGAGTCCATGTTTTATATTTTTTACTACGTACTTCATAGCAATGCTGTGAATCACATACTTTGGAGAGCCCAGAGATGCATAGAGGTTGGAGAAAAATCATATAGGAAAAAACGAGTGTGCAACTCATAATATGTGACATACCATCTTGTATTTTATTGCCTCATACATATATGTGATAGGAAAATACATTTGGCAAGGGCTTGAATGTATGTATGTTGTATGCAACAAAATACACATGTGTGCAATTGTCATACATGATATTACATCCAGTGCAGAAATAGCTTTACTATAAAGGGATAGCCAAATGGAAATACACAATATGTAAAGCAGCCCTAAGGATAAGAAGGAAAGACACAACAATATTATTCCAAAAAGCAACCCATGTGTGAACCATGCATAGAAACTAGAAGGAAAATCCACCCACACACCCCACAGGCTCCAATAAATGTGGTGCAGAGAAGACTGAGCTACCACATCTGCATGGCGTGCTTAGCAGCTGGCTTTCAAAAATCCCAAGTACCAGAATCATTGTTTGTTATTATCCTCACAGTTTAATTAGAAGCAAATTTTTTAACCACAATCAAGCTTCTACTTAAGTGCACGGGTACATTGCTTAAAGCTTATATCCTTGCTATTTTTTATCTTCTAAAATAAGCTTTCAGCAGCAACAGCAGTTGCACTAGGATGCCCAAAAGTCAAATTTCAAGGGCAGAAAGCTTTTATGTCCATAACACTGGCTGGGAGGAAGATAAAGTATTTGCTGGCTGGGTTTATTTCTAGTTGCTATCAAACATGTTGTAGAACTAAAAACCACTCACACAGAAAACATGCTGTTAGCAGCTTTCAGGACTGGTCATAGAAAAGATGGAATTATATAATCACTTAATTCCAGGTCCCTTTCGAACCTCCCAAACAGTTGCTTTAACCATGAGGCAAGATGGTCATTTCTACTTTCCAGTCATGCAGCAATTCTGAGCTTCTACATTCCCATGTGAAGAAATGACAGATACTGGGATGTAATACTGCTCGGTTCTCCACTTACCCAGAGGCTACAGAATCAAGGCAGAGCTTAGCAAAGTTAGTTTTTAAGACTACAATGACCAAAATCACTACAGGGGATGCTAGAAGTTGTCATCCAAAAACACTAACTCTGCTAAGCTCTGCATCCAATTCTCCATACATCTTGAACATACGAAATTGGAAAACTGTGATGCAGCTCCAACCCATAAATGCATAATCACAGAGCTCAGCAGGAAAATATATATTTAAAAGGATGCATGCTATATATTAATCCTAGCACCTCACCTTGTAAAACAGCAGAATATGTCCAATCTCCGGTCTTCACGACGATATAAATCCATACTCAGAATAGCAGGAAAAATCAGGAGGACCATGGCAAAGTTGAATACCACTACTACAGCAGCCTGTATATCAAAATAACCAAAAAGAAAAACGCATTACCAATTATGTTGCATTTAGAGAAAGGGGTTAAAATTGGAAAAAAACAAAACAAAACCCAGAAACACAGAATTTCTTTCACTTGGAAACATTATTTGCTACACACTGGCTGAACTGCTACTGCAGAGTTCTGCAGTATAACTTTTAGACAAGAATTGCCATAAATGAAGAAATCTCCACATATTCAATATGCAACAGATAATGTCTAATGGAGATTTCTTCACTTCTAAATATTATGCTATTTGCATAACTTTGTAGCAGGATTCCAGCTGTGGGCTCATTTGTATTCAGTACTTTGTTGAAAAGAAGCAACTGAATATTTTAAACTTTTATTTCATCATAGCATGTTTACTCTAAATAATTTATTTCTACAATATTCATCTGGATAAGGCATTTCTTGTGAGTTTTTCATTGAACAGTATCCTGACAGAGCAGCCCAACCTCTACTTTTCAACTGTGAACCTACATAAGTGGAGAGCAACTTCATAAGATTATGTGGAAATACAGCAGTATATAAAGCTCCTTCCATATTAATTTAAATTTAGAATAGCTTTAAAAAAACACACTAGAAGCCCAAACTGAGAGATCAAGGCAGACAGCTGTGCCATGTAGTTGGAAAGGTGGCTACTGATGGAAGCTGTTTTTCTAAGCCCAAGTAACCACTATTTCAATCTTTTAGGAAAGAGTTCTATTGATCTGACAAATCCATGATTTGTAACTCTGCCTCCATTTCTTCAAAAATAAACAAGTTCATAGTCAGAATTTCAGATTCCCCTTTTGATCCTTCCTAGATTCAGCTGACTGTCAAAATAGATTGCTATGTTAGCAGAAGAGGTATTGATACTGAGATTTAATTTTTGCCGCTTAAGTAGTGGGGGCAGGGAGAGGGGAGAGAGAGAATGAAAGGTCAATTATGACCTGTCCCCAGCTGCCCACTGTGGCACTTGTTTTTTTCAGCACCCTCTCTATGAGGTTCTCCAACCACTTCTCCAAGTTCCTTCCTGATCTTTCACAGGATTCTCTTATCTCATCAGACTCCTTTATGGTTTTTAAACTTAATCCCGGGCCAACCAAGTAAGTCACTAACACCAAGGAAACAGTACTGGAATCTCATCAATGTACCTTAGTATGATTTTGTATTTAAAGCAAAGGAAAAACATTAAATCAAAATTTGATAACATGATTTGTTGCATTAGTCCAGTTTACAGTTCTATCACTTCAGTGAAGAAAACATTTCCAATCTGTTTTTAAATAGATCCAAAAAAGTTTTGCTTTTCTAAGACTTGTATTGTGTAAGAAACCTCTTCCATTCAGAGAATGGAGCATTGTGTAAGAAACATCTTCCATTCAGAGAAAACAGGTTGCCCATTCTAAGTGACAAATACAACCAACTACTGCAATTACTGTCTGATTAGCCCTCAAAGATTATCCCATCATCAGGTCCAGGAGTTCCTCTTTATCTCTTGGAAAAACTATGAAGAGGGAAAAGCCCAGATGGATCAGACCAAAGCCCTGTCTGGCCTACTGTTCTATCCCCACAGGGCCAATCAGATGTCTATAGAATGGCACAAAGACACATTGCTACATTCAGAGCATTTCAGCTGCCTGCCACTGCCAGGGGAAGTTCACAAGGTCTCACTTACATAAGATGGGATCCACCAGACAGCATGGTGCTAAGGCCCTTTAAAACCTGGAGCTAGCTTGCTGTGCTAGTTTTCAAAGAACCAATTATCCCCGAACTCCTACCAAATCATCCTAGTACAGTGGTGCCTCGCAAGACGACGTTAATTCATTCCGCGAAAATGGCTGTTAAGCGAAAACATTGTCTTGCGAACACGTTTTCCCATTGAAATGCATTGAAAACCTGATAATCCGTTCCAATGGGAACGGATTGTCATCGCAAAATGAAAATTGCCATAGGAAACATCGTTAAGCGAAACGCGGTTCCCAAGCGAAGATAGCCGTCTAACGAAACCATTAAAAGACTCGTATAGCGAAGCAAGACCAAGCTGTCAAAAACATCGTAAAGCAAAAAACAGGGACCTAAAATTTAACCGTCTTGTGAGGCAAGGTCCCTAACATCGTAAAGCAAAAATCGCCCATAGGAAACATCGTTAAACGAAGCGCAAGATCACTCCAAAAACCTCATCGTAAAGCAAATTCGTCATCATGTGAAGCAATCGTCTTGCGAGGCGCCACTGTAATTCCCTTCCATTTTCTGTAACACTCCGTGGATATGCTGAACATTGTCTTTTGATACCAACATCTGTTATAATTTCCTGACAATGGTTATGGTGAGAAATCTTCATTTAGCTATATACTAAACTGAACATAGCACAGTACAAAAAACAAGTAAGAAAAATCAATAGAGGCTGCTCAAAATCTGCTCAATGCTGACAAAGCTAGGAAAGGGAAAGAGTTCTCATGTTACCTCCTCCTTTCTGTATAAAACAGCTATGAGAAGAAGAGTGAACTGCAGGGCCTCAAATGCTGCCCCTCTGGAAACCGACAAAGCTAATGAGAGCTGCAACTTCGGTCTAGGAGTATGTCAATGAACGGCCTAGGTGATATAGGGTAGGAAGAATGGGCTCCCTTTATTTGAAAACAACACACTCATACACTCACTCACATAAAGCATTTAGAAAATTTTGTGGAGAAGTCCTGTATATATTCTCTGCCTATAAATGGAACAAAATAAACAAACTAAAATGAATCTTTCAGCAATACTGTACACTGATTCAGTATGTAGCCGGCAGTGGCTGCTGCGATGGAGGCGGTGGCTGCTACGTGTGCTAACCGAAATAAAATAATGGAAGTCTGTGCTGGAGTCACTGAGGGAGAAAGCCTAGTAGACTGGGGCCCTGCCCAAGGTATGCGCTGCTGTTTGCCATTCCTTGCAGACCACCCAAGGAGAGCAGCCAGAAATGATGAGCAGATGAGGAGGCCCGTCATGCTGTCTTTCGCCTTTCTGCTATCTCTCTGCAACTCCCTTCTAATGGCACTCAAACATTGCATTTTCATCCCCTCTCACCCCTTCCCAGACTTAACAAGTGACATTAAAGACTTCATGACAGGAACAAAGAAAACGTAAGAAGCTGGATGTAGACAAGAGACTTAGATATTTCAGTCTGATCTGGGAGTAAAACAATAAATGCATCTTAACAGCTTCCATTGTTTTTCCCACAAAGTAACGTGTATTTCTTAAAGATAAATGGGATACTCCCCATTCTTAAGCAAGCATATACAATAAAAAAGATAACATTTATGTTTGTGTGAAAACTCTCATTACAGGAAAGGGACTGTGGCGAACTTTGCCAAATTATTCACGCAGAAAGGAAGAGGATGGTAGATACTGATCCTGGCCAGAGGTTGGAAGTTTGATTCCTTACTGTGTCTCCAGGGAAGCAGAGCCAGACTGTGTGGCCTTGGGCTAGTTGCACAGTTTCTTTGGAACCGTTTGTCTCTAGGTCCTCGGCTGTGGAACACCCTCCCAACTGAAATTCGGCTGGCACCCTCCCTGGGTGTTTTCAAAAGCCAGTTAAAAAACTTGGCTTTTCAGACAGGCCTTCCCTCCAGTCAATTAATTGATTTTCATTTTTTTCCCTTGAGTCATGCCATCTTGGTAATATGTTGTTTGGAATTAATTGTTATAACCGTGTCTTTGATAATTTTTATACGCGTTATATTGTTGTGTGTTGTTCCATGTAAGCCGCCCCAAGTAGACATTGTCTGGGGGGGTGGATGAGTAAAAATCTATCAATCAAACAAACAAACAAACAAACAAATATCAGAGAAAGCAGTGTTGCCTGCCCTTTAAATATATTATTTACTCCAAACACAATGTCCATGCCATTTTTCTGACTGTGGCAGAGGAGTAAACATTATACCAACACAAGTGGCACAGTACCCAAAGCCACTCAATTTATTTTGGCATATGAGGCAGAAAAACTTGCCACATTTCTTCCCATTCTTGGCAGTTAAAGAAAACAAAATAATAACCACATTAATAACTCATGATCTGTTGTCCTTTTATAACTTGCAAAACCTGCTGCCTAAGGTGGTTGCCTTATTCTGCTGCTGGCCCTACCAGATATGCAAACATAACTCTGTTAGAGTTACTTTGCAATCAGTACATATGAATCTTCACTTTTACCTTCAGCAATATTTGCCATTATACTAAAGGCCAATATTAAAATTCAGTCCTGGATTTACGCATATATATGACTCCATCATAAACTTCACTGGAGTTACTCCCAGTTATTTCCAGACTGAACATATCTTTTACATTCAGCAAGATCAGATTATTATTTTTTTAAAACAACCAACATATTTCTCTCTCCAACTTCAACTCCCTCCTTTCCTTTTGGCAAAAGGCTAATATAAAGTGTTATTTTTGAAACCATGTGCACAAATGTGTGTGTGGATATTCACAACTGACTTTCTCCAGATCATTCTAGGAGTATTATGTTACATGGATCTGGAGTTATTCAATTTAATCTGACAAAGAGTTAAAGAGTTCCAAAAGGAAGTATTTCACTTAGGAGTGCTCAAGAAAGACTGACTGATAAACATGCATAAAATAAAAGCATAGCTGTAAAATTTTGTCTTTTATTTTGATTTCGCTCATCACTGACTGACAAAAACCACTCCAGTAAAAGTTTCAGGGAGATTCATCCTTCACGTCTGAAACATCAGCACTTCCTTTTGATAGTCATTTGAACTGAACTAAAATCAACACCCTGGTGGCACAGAGGATGCACCACCTTGCTGGAAACAAAAGAAGCTTAGAAAAAAGGACTGATATGCAAGAGTGAAAGCTGGGGTTTCATCCTCTCAGGAAACCATTTATTCTCTCTAAGCGGTTGGATTATTTTACAGATATTAAATGCCTCAAAAACCAATGGAGCATGGATTGTTATCTTCTAACATCTGGAGAAAAGTGAAGTGGAGAAGGAGGTCAAAATAA